ACCAACCACCCTTGTCTGCTACAGGGGGATTTACATCACGGGCTCCAGCATCATTGGTGGTGGAGTCAAAGCCCCGCGGATCAAAACAAAGAATCTGGTGAGGTAAGCACAAACCTGGGGTTAGTTCTTGTGCTGCATCTGAGTGGGGCAGGTCACAACCCACCCAGTGAAGAGGCTTCCGTGTGCTCTCTAGCCCCATGGGTGCTGCTGGTAGATTGTTCTTTGCTGAGCTGCTGATGCTGTTTGCTTTCAAAACAAAGAGCCTTAAAGGAGCCAGAGTGTCCCTTTGAGGGGTCACTGTGTGATATGCTGTGAATGAGCCCAGTGTGTTCAAAACAAACACCCTGAGATCACACATCATGCCTAGGCAAAGGTTCTCCTTGCACAACCCTTCCGCAAGGAGCAGAAACAGGCTGGTGAAGGGCAGGACTTCCTAGGCCTGTTTCCAACAGGGTCCTTGCAGCTTACTCAGGTGCCACGGCAGAACCAGCCTTTTGTGCTTGGCAGCTCCCCATAGTTTAAAAGGAAAGTAGTGGGTAGCTTTCATATGGCTGTGGAGGAGTCTGTCTGGCTGGGCATAAAGTGTTAGGGGTTCCTTGGGGTGGGGTCTTTCCCCTGGCACACTGGTCAGACTGACTGAGACACTGTGCTCAGGCTTTGCCTTTCTCCCACAGCATCATTTTCTGCGAGGCCGTGGCCATCTACGGGATCATCATGGCAATAGTCATCAGTAACATGGCTGAGGTATGGGAGCACCTGGGCTGCCATGCCACCCCTGCGGCCATGGTGGGCACGGGCAGCTGGTCATGGGCCAGTGTTGTGAGGGAGTAGCCCTGTTGTGCCTTTGGGAACCCCTGGACTGGTGGTCTGTGTAGTGATCCTTGCCTGTGATAAAGAGAGCATTGGGAGAGCACACACAAGGCAGATGCGATGAAGCCAGCCTGATGGGGAGTCAGGGACCGGCTCTGGCCAAAATGTGGCTGCCTCATGCTGTACCTTTTCCAGACACCACAGACTTGTCACTAACCCAGGTCCTGTGCTTTCTCTTTTCAGCCTTTCAATGGAGTCACCCCAGAAGAGATTGGAGCCAGGAACTACCACGCAGGTAAGGACTGCTGGGTCCCTGGTGCTGTCACTTGTGGGCACTGCCACACCCTGACCCACACCTTCTGATCTACCCATGGTCTGCTGCTGGTGTCTGAAGGACATGTGACTCTTCTGCCTAAAGGCAGCATTTTACTTACCTTCTCGAGGTCCTCCTGCACACAGCGGGCTGTGCTGCCCAGCAGCAGCACTGCTCCTCCTCTGGGTGGAGCAGTGGCCTGGCACTGCGGGAGCTGAGGCACGCCTCAGAGCATTCCTGCTCCTCAAACAGGGTGTTGCTGGGGCTTGGCAGCTCCAGGTCTTCTGTCACCTCGAGGGAGAGCTTCTGCAGCATGTCCTGGGTGCAGGTGGAAGGAGGTTACACCCTTCTCTCACAGCATTCCTCTCTCACAGGTTTCTCCATGTTTGGAGCTGGTCTGACCGTGGGTTTATGCAATCTCTTCTGTGGGGTCTGTGTGGGCATCGTGGGCAGCGGGGCTGCCCTGGCTGATGCCCAGAATGCCAGCCTCTTCGTCAAGATCCTGATTGTGGAAATCTTCGGCAGTGCCATAGGGCTGTTTGGGGTCATCGTTGCTATCCTGCAGGTACCTGTTTCCTGAGGCCACCAGGCCTATGTGAGCACAAGGTGCTGTCACCCTGGATGCTCTCCAGCCCCAGGGAGACACCCCTGGGTTTCAGCACAGTCTTCTGCATTGGGATGGGGAGGCTGCTTACAAGGTTTGGGGTGGCACAGCTCTTCCCACAGCATACTGTGCCTGTTTGCAACATTATGAACCCTTCTGATGGCCCCTGTGTCACCGAGTGTGTCACCTTGAGTGCTCCTCGTGTGACGCTCATGTGTTACCAGTGGGACTGATAAGCTGTCTGCAGCTTCTGGATGGTCCTGGGGTGCTTGGGTGGACCTGGGGTGCTGAGCTGGGGTTTATGGGCCACAATCTAACCTCTCTTCTTTCTTTCTAGACATCCAGAGTAAAAATGGGCTGAGCCCTCTTGCACTCAGCCTGTTCCAGCCCACCCCAAGAGATTCTGTATATACTTATTTAATGTTTGTATACTTGATTGGTGTGGGAGATTGCTGGCATCAGGAGCAGGAGCCTGACTGCGTAGAGCCCCGTCCTGCAGATCAATCGGCACCTTGGAAGAAACAAATTTCTCTGTGTGAATTCTGCCCCCAGCAGCCTGGCCCAGCCCGTGGGGTCCTGCTGCTGCCCATCCCCGGTGTGTAGAATCGACCATCAGTGCAATTCTGTGTCAGTGAAATAAATATGGTTCTTGTCCAGCTCTTTCTCCTCCCTGTGCATGCTAAGGAGGTTTGCAGAGAGAAAGTGCTGGTTTGGGCTGCCCCAGTGCTCAGAGATTCTTCTCTGTGCCTCTGGCAAAATCCCTGTGCTGTTCCAGGAGCCTGGTGGTGTCATGCATGTGTGGGGTTAATTCTGTTGCCTTCTCAGGCTGCAAGAGCCACCCTGTTGGGGCTGTGTGAACGCAGAGCTGTGCCTTGCTGCCTGGAGCAGGTACAAGGCTGTTGGAACAGGCAGCAGGCAGCTCTGAGTTGCCTCTGCCAGGCTCCTAGCAGCCCAACATGAACTAAACAAGCTGCTTTGGGCCTTTGAGCTGCCATTGGGGTAGTTTAGTGTAGTGGGGGTGTACACAGTGTGCATAGCCCCATTGTGCAGCTGGGGAGCACCAGAAGAACAGACAAGTGAAACTTTTCCCCCTTCAAAGGATGTCCTCCAGCCAGCAAGGCCATGGTGTGACTGTTGGCTGCGTGCTGGGGCTCTCCAGTCTGCAGTGCCCCTCTGTCCAGGGGGCCCTGGCAGAGGTCCCAGGGGTGGGGATGCTTTGTGCTGGCTCTGTTCCTGGTCCCTGGCTGTGCTGAATAGTGTGGGGAAGCTGGCTGTAGACAGCTGGACCTGCAGCTCATCTGCTGCTTGGGGGAAGGGAAGAACAAAGTCCTACTGCGTGTGTTCTGCAGAGAGCCTGGAGGCTGCTGCTTCTGCTGTATCCAGCACAGGGCCTCATCCTGTTCTTCTACCAGTATACCTTCATGGAGAAAGCACTGATCTTCCAGTGCTGTGTCAGAGCAGATGCACTCTTAGAGCTGCTCTTCCCATGTGGACACCACAGGCCTGCTGCTTCTTGCCCTTGAACTAGGGCAGCTGCCTCTGCATGACCCCTCTGAGATCTGCTGTTCTCCTGCCTCTGTTCTGCCACTGTCCTATGAGTTTTGGGACTGCAGTATATTTCAGCCCTGGGTGCCCTGAATGGGGGGAAAACCAAGCCACCGGCCCTGCTAGCTGTGCTAGCTGTCCCTTGGGGCTGGAGGGTGTCACAGGAGCAATGTGAGACCTGTGCAGCGGCAAACTGGGCTCTGCCTGCTTGGAAGAGAGTGTCTGTCAGGTGTGGGCAGACTTTTGCCTGTCCTGTGTGAGAGCTGCAGAGCCATTTCATCAGACCCACACCAAGCTCTGAAAGGAGATGCCTGGGGTTGGAGAGGCTGTGCTGGTGTTAGAGAAACTGCTTTTTGGGTTAATCATCTTCCTGGTTAGCAGCTGTCTTGAAAGACTCATGCACTTGCATTTTAGGTATGGGTGGTGCTCTGCCCTGCCCAGATAGAAATGTATCAGCCATCAGAAATATGTCTCTGTGAGATGCTTTCCCACTCTCCCAATCCTGCTTCTGTATGTCACAGCTTTGGCAGGGCAATGGGCTCCAGACTTACCCACAGGCCCCTTATAAGGATATGAGAGCCATCAGGACTACTCTCAGGGTGGCCCACAGCCCACCTACCATAGTCAGCAGTGATAAGGTGAGCACGCCCTGTGCTCACCTCGTTCTAGGTGTGCATGCTTGGGTTCCAGGACTTGGACTAAACACCTGCTGCTCAAGCAGAGAAAAAAAGCTTCAACAAGGCTCCGGGATCTTACACCTTGTCTCATCTAGAAGCATCGGCAGCGGGAGTTGAAAGATATTTTGGTAACCATGTGTAGGTATTGAGGAAAATGCCACCTGCTGAGGAGCCAAACCAAGAGCTGGAGGCAGAAGTTGGACTGCTTTCAGTTGGGGCTTGTTTGCAGGGGTGGAGCAGGGCGGGGCTGGGTGGCTGCCATTCAGTTCTCTTCGGAAGGGTTGTCTGCTGAAGGGAGCTTCTGAAGGGAGCTGGAGAGCCCTCGCTTGGGTGAGCAGCCAGGCATGGGAGGAGGAGAGGCCTCAGGGAACAGGGTTGCTCTAAACAGATACAAATGCTGGGGAAGAGAGCTCAGGGGGTGGCAGGAAGGGAAAGGCTGCAGACAGTGCAAAAACCACTTATGGTGGGCCAAACTTGCAGTTGGGCCAAACCAAGATCTTTCAGTGATGCCATTGTGGTAAGGAGAGTGAGATTCCCAGTGTTTCCTAGCAGTGAAACATAGGGTGGGGGGGAAGGAGCCACGAATAGGTTGCAACGGACGCTGAGCCGGCACCAACGGCCGGGAGCATGGGAGTGGCCGCAGGTGGGTCTGTGGAAGCGCTGCCTTCAGGCAACAAGGAGCAAGGGAACGAAGAAAGGCCGGGACACCGTGTGCCTGTGTCCCGGAGGTGCTTGGAAGGTCCCCGGTGCCGCGCCTAGGGCCGAGCGGTGAGCATCCCGTGGTGGAGCCGGAGGCATCGCACACCCCGGGGTGTGTCTGCATCCCTGGCATCCGCGTCCGTGGGCCCCGGTGCCTGCGGGACTTCCCTCCCGGCCCCTCGGCTCCGGGGCGGGCGGCGGCGGCGGCCCCGCCCGGTGCGGCGGCGGCGGGCGGAGCCGGCGTGCGGGCGCGGCCCCGTCTCCCTGCGGCTCTCGGCGGTGCGGCGGCCCGGCCGGCTGGGCCCCCCGCAGCCCCGGGCATGGGAGCCCGCGGGCCGGCGGCCGGGGCTGGAGGAGGAAGAGAAGGAAGAGGAAGAGAAGGAGGCGGCGGCGGGGGCCGCTGACCGGCGCCGGGGCGGCGCGGCAGCCCCGAGGCCGCGGTGAGTGGAGCGGCGCGGGCAGGCCTGGCCGGGCGGGGGAGGCCCGGGATGCGACCCAGGGGATGCGATCCCGGTCACTTGTGGGCGGCACCGCTCCAGCTCGGGAAAAAGCCTAATTTTGAGGTTATTTTTCGTTTTTTAAATAAGTTTTCGCATGGGTCGGGGACTGAGAAAAATTAGGGGGTGGGGGAGTGTTAGTTTTGCTGAATGCGGTTCTTCGCCCCACTTTTAGCCGGGAGGTGGCCACCTTTAGGGCATCGGGACCACCGGCTTTCACCATGCCTCCCTTCTCCCAGCCCTGGGGATGTCTTGTGAGAAGAAGGATTTGAGTCCACGGGGTTGAGCATCCCCTCCAAAACGAGCATCACCAGCCCTGTGGCACATACTGCACTGGCTTGTGAAACCCTGGGGACCAGCTCCCCAACCCCGGCTTGCTTTTGGCCTCTCACACCCTGCACAGATCTTGCGGTGGGGGGAGATGACATCATATTTCATAACCCCCCTCCTTAGCAGTTTAAGCCCACTCATCTTCGTGGTGTCCTGTGGCTGCTGCTTGATGGACTGCTTTGCTTTTGTTCTTGCTGAGCATCACTCTGCTTACCTCGTGGACCGTTCTGCCAAAGCGCCCCTAAAACCAACTCTGATTTTTCCCTATTGCATCCCTGTCTGGCTGTTGAGGCACTCCATATACCGCACAGGTTTTTGGGGAGGGTTTCTGGCAGGTGCTGGGGCAGGCAGGTCACCGTGTCACGGTCTCTGCAGGGTGGCAAGGCACTGTCAAGGGGGAAAGTTTGAGCAATAACAGCAAGACCAGCTTTTCTTCAGAGGGCTACTTTCTAGAAAAAAACTGGATGTGGGGTTGGGCTGTTGACACATGCCGGGACACCCCTATCCACAGGGATGCTGCTCTAGATCCTGCAGAGAGAAGGTGGACATAGTTGGGCTGGTGGGCTCAGGGCCTTTTCTAGCACCTCCCTACCTGTGATGGGTGCCAGGGTCTGCCTGCTAGGGTCAGTCCTGCAACTGTGAGAGGACACCCCAGAGCACGGTGGGGTGAAGGATCCTGATTGACACCTCGGCTCTGATCCCCATTCCCATCCCGTGTGGCCATCACTGCCAGCTCTGTGCCCTGGGGGTCTCCACTGGACAGGGCTGGCAGCTGCCAGTGACTGGTTGCCAGCACTGTTGGGTGCTATCTGCACTCCTTCTGGGGGTCCTGCTGCAGGCCCCCAGCCACCAAGGTCCCCCCAGGGACTATGCAGCAGCTCTGGCCTGTCCTGAGGTCCTCAGGGCTTTGTGAGCCCCAGTGCCTGTCCCTTGTGGTTGCTTTGCCATGTCTTAGCAGCTTCCCTGAAAGCAGGGACGGGCAGGGCAGGGATCAGGGCAGGAACTGGGGTGTATGGCTGTGCTGTGGCCTGAGCCTTGGCGTTGCAGGGCTGGGAAAGGCCAGATGGTTTGACTTGTCTGGGACCCTCTAGTGACTCTCCCAGCTGGCTTCCTGGCAGGGCTCTGGCCCAGCTCCAGGTGTCATGTGGGAGATAAGGGGACCCTGACTTCCAGCAGTCCAGTGTCCCAGGAGGCCTCACCATCAGGAGGAGGGGAGAGGATCTGTGCCGCTGGCTGTAAGCCAGACCTCCCTGGATGGAGCAGGGAACTTACTTGGGGGCTGGGATGTCCTGCTCAGCTTGGCTTGGCTCCGTGTCTGCTGTGCAGCTGCTGACCCGCTGGGTGCCTCGAGGAGGGCCCCTGCCGTCATGGCTCTCATTGCCACCCTGCTTTGGTGCTGCTGCTGGGGTGTAGCTCTGTGGGGAGGGAGCAGGATGGGGAACAGGGAAGTGTCTCAGAAAGGAGTTGCTGGTGGGGACACCTATGGTGACCTTTTGGACATCCCAGGCTGGCCATATTTCTGGAGAGTGTATACTTCGTCAAGGATCCAGCCTCCATGGAGGCTCTTTGTGGCATGTCTGGAAGTGTCTGCATCATCTCTCTGGGTGGGGAAAAAGGGGAGTGGGTCTGTCCTGTTCTGGTCTTGGCCTAGGAAAGCAAGAAGGGGACTTGCTATGTGGGGCTGAGGAACTCTGTTATCTTCATGGCTGTGCCTTCAGAGCAGGGATCCAGGTGCAGCGTTCCTCCTCAGGTGTTCTCTGGCATACCAGCCTACAAGCCTTTCATGTCTGCATCAGGCCTGTGCTGCTCCTGCTGTCCCAGTGTCATTTGGGATGGGTTGGGAGCTCAGACTCGTGGTGTCCTGAGCGTGAGGTGTCTTGGCAGGATCAGGACCGTGGCTGGAGCCGCCCCCCTGCCCCGCCAAGCGCACATGTCTGCCTGCCCGTGCCCAGAAGATGACCAGGCTGCTCTTGGGGGTGACCCTGGAAAGGATTTGCAAGGCTGTGCTGCTGCTCTGCCTGCTCCACTTCGTTATCATCATGATCCTCTATTTTGACGTCTACGCGCAGCACCTGGACTTCTTCAGCCGTTTCAACGCCAGGAACGCCTCGCGCACCCACCCCTTCTCCAACTCGTCCCGCCCCAACGGCACCGTTCCCAGCTACGGGCCAGCTGGTGCTGAGGCCCCATCCCCCAGCACCAAGCCTAGCACCAACCAGTCCGCCACTGAGAAGCCCTTGCAGCCCTGCCAGGAGATACCTCCTGGCTTAGGTGAGACATGCTGGGTGAGCGTTGGGGATGAATTTGGGCTCTGACTCTGAACATGGGGCTAAGGTGGGTGCTCATGACTGACATCCTTATTCCCTGGGCCCTGGGCTTCCCTGTGAAATAGCAGAAAAAACCCAGCCTGGAACTGTATCAGGATAGCTGGTTTCAGGTTTTGTTAGCCCAGTCTCTCTGTCCCTGTTCAGGAAAGTTTTTGGGCACTCTCTGCCCTCGGCAGTGCCGGTCCCCCTTGCGGGTCCCCCTCGCTGTTTGCTTTACCAGTCCAGGCAGGAGCAGCAGGTGACCATGACCCTGACCATGTCCTGTCCTGTGGGCATCGCCCTGCCCTCCCTCTCACAGTTGGGCGCCTGCTCATCGAGTTCAGCTCTCCCATGAGCATGGAGCGAGTGCAGCGGGAGAACCCTGATGTGCGCCAGGGCGGCAAGTACACCCCCCCCGACTGCCTACCCCGGCAGAAAGTGGCCATCCTCATCCCCTTCCGGCACCGTGAGCACCACCTCAAGTACTGGCTGCACTACCTGCACCCCATCCTGCGCCGACAGAAGGTGGCTTATGGTATCTACATCATCAACCAGGTGAGGGGAGCAGGGGCAAGGGGGTGGTGGGGCTGGGATGGACAAGCAGGCATTGCTGAGCTTTGCCCTGCAGTTCGGTGAAGACACCTTCAACCGGGCCAAACTGCTCAACGTGGGATTCATGGAGGCACTCAAGGACGACGAGGGGTATGACTGCTTCATTTTCAGCGACGTGGACCTCATCCCCATGGACGATCGCAACCTCTATCGCTGCTACGAGCAGCCACGGCACTTTGCTGTTGGCATGGACAAGTTTGGATTCAGGTGGGTGCCCTAGGGAGTTGGGGTGTTTCTGCCCAGAGTAGGGCTGGAATATCTCTCTGGGATGGCATAAGGGCAACCATCCTCAATTGTCACCTGGGGCAGGCATGAGGTCAATGGCTCAAATTGTGGACTTGAGATGGGAGAGGGCACAGAGCCCTGGGTAGGAGGGTGACACAGGAAAAGGTCGGTCCTTGTACTTGGGTGTCTCCATGGGGCTCACTTCCATCTTTGCCTGTTCCTGGGGCTAACCCATTCGCTGTCAACTGCAGGCTTCCCTATGCCGGCTACTTTGGTGGTGTCTCTGGACTGAGCAAGTCCCAGTTCCTGAAGATCAATGGCTTTCCCAATGAGTACTGGGGCTGGGGAGGAGAGGACGATGACATCTTTAATCGGTAGGTCCCAATCTCTCGCTAGCACTGACTGGTTGGGGTGTACCAGGCTCCCCACTGAGCACTGAATTAGCACCACTGCACTGGTGTTCCCGGTTTTGTGGGGGATGTGCACAGGCTGTGCCACATGTCAGGGAGGGACTGAATTACACTCCAGCTTCAGGGCTGATGACCCTCGTGGATGGAACTGGCCTTTCCCAGGGTGCTGCAGGACATCCCTCTGCCTCCCTTGTGGCTGAAGCCTGAAGGTGTGCCAGCACAGTGTGCGCTGCACCCGCAGGGTGGTGTGCCTGTGGGCTCTGCTCCATACAGGGGCTGGGATGCTAGACTTGGATGTGTCCAGGGCTGAGATCGAAAACTTGGAAGTGTTTCAGTGGTGGCCGTGTAGCAGCCATGCAGTCATTCCTGCCAGCAGCTGGCAGGCAGCAGTATGGCTGCGTGCTGAGCAAAGCCCAGTTCCCCATGGTGCTGCCCAGGGAAGCAGTGTGCAGCCACAGGGGTGTAACCAGCCTGTAATGGCCAGACGAGCAAAACATCCTTGTGGAAGCCCCAGGCACGTGGCACAGTTGTGATTTCCACACAAGATGGGCTCAGGGTGCAGGACAAGAAGTGTGTAGAGCTCTGGAAGAACTTCAGGCAGTCCTTGATCTGAGGGAAGGGCTCCAAAGGAAGGGCTAGGCAGCGGCATTCAGGGAATGTAAAGGGCAGGGGCCGCAGAGGGAAGGAGAGAAGGAGGGATGGATGGCTGCACATGGATGGCTGCCTCTGTGCAGCACAGGCTGAATGCAGCTGCCGGTCCCTGGATGGGAGTGGCAATTTGGGCACACTGCCATGGGGTATGTGGCACTCTAGGTCATGACACTGGCCTGGGTGGGGCTTGGCTTTGCTCATCTTGGCTTGGCACAGCTTTGTTTAACCAAGGACAGGTTTATTTTGCCTGGGGTCTGACCCTGGAGGTCTCTGGGCTGGGGAATGTCCCACCCTGTTGCCCACACACTGATCCCAACCTGCTCCTGGTCCCCAGCATCTCCCTGAATGGCATGAAGGTGTCGAGGCCCGACATCCGCATTGGGAGGTACCGCATGATTAAGCATGAACGCGACAAACACAACGAGCCTAACCCGCAGAGGTGAGTGAGCCACAGGGCTGGGGCAGTTGGAATGCTGGGCGATCACTTGGCTGCTCACCCCTATAAGAGATCCAGCGCTGCTGGCACTACAGCAAAACATCCCTCCATCCTCATCCCACTCTTCCTTCCGCCAGATTCACCAAGATCCAGAACACCAAAATGACGATGAAGCGGGATGGGATCAGCTCGCTGCAGTACCGGCTGGTGGAGATCTCCCGCCAGCCCATGTACACCAACATCACGGTGGAGATCGGCAGGCCACCGCCCCGCCTGGCCCGCGGCTAGTGCTCCTGTAACCGGGAACCCCTGTGCCTAGGCTGGCTGGGCATAGCAGGTTTTGCCCCAGCTCAAGAGCCAGGACTGGACAGGGATGTTTTCTGCCTACTCTGCTGCCTTCTGGAGACGGCTGCCCCCCAGCCGGCCCTTTGGTCCCCAGGATTTCTCCGTCTCCCCCATCCCCACGAGTGCATTTGCAGGACCCCTGCCCCATACGTGGTGTGTTGGTGGATGAGCCTGGCTGCCCTGCGAGCAGCTCCTGGCACAGAGGGAGGGGGCAACCCCAGGCTTGGCAAGAAGCCCCCAGTCCATGCCAGCTCCTGCCTGCACCCTGGGTGGGGAGGGTGAAATCCCGCTGCTCTGTGAGAGCTGGAGGGTCCCCACCAGCGCTGTGAGAAGTGGGGTGCAGGCTTCCCCCTTTACTAGTGCTGGAGCCACTGCTGCCCCAGCTGGGGATGGGAGCAGCCTGGGGCCCCCAGGCAGGCGGGATCAGGGCAAGGTTGCTGCCCTGGTCAGGCACTGCCCATGCTGCTGGGCACACAGACGTGGCTTGCTGTCTTCCTCTGCTTTAGTCTGGTGCTTAGAGCCGGGCCCTGTCTCAGCTCTGCCAAACAGAGACCTCTGATTAGCGAACGCCCCTCGCTGTGCCTCAGTATCCCCAGGGCTGGGGGGATGGCAGCTGTATCCCATCCCCCTTCCCCAAAGGCAGGTGCTGTGTGTGTGTGCAGCCCCTGCCTGCGCCTGCCCTCACCTGCCCTCCCCCCTTTGGTGGGGGAAATAGGGCTCATTTGAACCCCCCAGCCCCTCTTGGTGGGGGCTAGTGCAGCCCCCCTCTTGCAGGGAGGGAATCTTCCCCTTGAGGTCTCCTCTTGTCTGCCTTCCCCCTTCCAGGCCAGGGGCAGGGGGGCTGCAGGCAGGAGAGCCTGGGACCATGCAGGGTGGGAGCCCTGTACCCCTCCATGGGTCTGGGAGCCCCAGCACCCCTGACGCTCCATGGGGGGCTGGGAGCAGTGGGGCTGGGAGCAGGGCAGCTCGCCAGGGCTGGGGGGCACTGGCGACTTTTGTACATTTGAATGTCTGACCCTTTTTTCAGCGTACGTTGAATGCAGCGTTCGGTCGTAGAGACCGAGGGTTTTGTATTTAATAAAAGTTTGAAAAGTTGGCAGGCTTTGTGGGGGTGGGAGAAAGCATTATCTGATGTGGAAGTGGGATTGTGGAGTATAGAGGGCAAGTCCTGTCTGCCACCTCGAGCTGCTGGCTGGGAGGCAGAGCCCCTGCCTCACCCTATCCACTCTTGGGGGACCCCCCCCCAGTTCACTCAGCGATGCAAGGGGGCCTAACAAGGTGCCCACCTAGGGCAAAGTACACAGGGCAAAGCCAGCTGCCATGGATCTTTGCTACCTTCCTGTCCACTGGGGGACAGTGATTTCTCTCATCCTCCATCCTCTGCCTTACCGCCAGCTGGTTTTGTACATCCAGGTAGGGCAAAGGAGAATTCCTCAGAACCTGGCTGGCTGTTGAGCGCCAGGCATCAGAGGGGAAAAGAGCTGCACCCATTAGGTGTGATCCCCCACTCTTCAGCCCCTCCCTTCCCCCACGTGGTTCCCAAAGAAGGGCACAGCGGGACACAACCTCAGGAATATAAATCTCATTAAAATCTAGGATACTTTAGAACTCTACACCAGGAGAGACACTGGCACAGGCAGCGCTGCCCAGAGACACTGGCACAGGCAGCGCTGCCCAGGGACGCGCGCGTTATTGCTAACAATTAGAGGTGAAGAGTAGCGGCGTGACTCGAGGGGCAGGGCACGGGCACCATGCGGGAACCTGCGCCCCTCGCCGCAGCACGACGGGGGGCTCGGGACGGGGAGCTGGAACATCCTGCTGGGGCTCGCCGCCCACCGCCTCCCGCCACCGTGCCAAGCTGTGCCATGTCCCTGTGCCAGCCTCAGGGCTGCAACATAGGGAGCACAAGGTGCTGGCTAGGAGGGGGGCAAGCGGAGTAGGAAGGGTCTCATCCCATCCACCCCAAATCAAGAGCTCCAAGCCCTTTGGCTGGAGTTGGAAGACAGATTTAAAACAGCCCGGCCTTTGCCAGTGCATCCTGTTCCACTAATACTGGTTGGGGACTGAGCATCCCCAGATGGCTCGGAGCGAGTGGGCTGGTGCAGCCCTTCATGTCTCCGCTGGTACCTCATGCTAAGCAGCAGCTGGGGGAGGCCGGTCCATCAAGCTCCCCCTTAGCACCATGGAGGGTCCTCCCCTGCCAGTGCTGGGGCTGCCAGGGAGAGCTGGACCTCATCCCTGTCTGGTTACCCCCCGGCCAGGCTTAAGTATTCCCCAGCCTCCTGCCCCACTGTGGGGCAGGCAGCGGCACTGGGCTGTGCCCACGCTGCTTGTGGCTGTGCCCAGCTTTGCAGGCAATACCTGGCCACCCAGAAGGGCACCCACAGACCCCAGTGGGGCCACAGGGTGGAGGGGTGCATGGAGGGGAGCATCCCAGCTCACTGCCTGCACAGCCCCGGCGTACTGTGCATATGTACATGCCCACATATGCCACGTGTGCCCATGCCATATCTGTGAGGGACACACGTGTACACATGTGCTCTAAGTGCTTGTGTCTTGTGCCGTCAGATCCCCCTGCCGGTGCAAGCAACATGCTTGCCCCTCATCTCCCTGTGCTGGCCTGGTGCCTGGCAGCACCTCCTGTGAGAGCCAGTAGGCTCTGAGCCACAGTGGGTGTGCACCCAGGCTGAGGGTCCCTGCAGCGCCAACCCCCGCCATGATGGCCTTGTGCACACACAGGCCACGGGCAATCCTGGCATGCTCAACCCTGGTCCCACCCCACATCCTCCCCATGGGAAGGTCAGGAGGGTGCCCCATGGCAGGGCAGGCTACCTGGCTTGGGGGGGGGGGGGGGGGGGGGGCCGGGGGGG